GCGAGGCTGAGGACAACTCAGCTAGGCCACGTGATAAGTCAGGAGGCTCCAATGGTATTACAAAACATCTTCCCTTTGGCTTAAAAAGACTACAAATGTGATCTTTTAACGGCTGAAGCAACATGAGGCAAACGGCCATGTTCAGAGAAGGAACTGATTGGGATTCTGGAGTCTGTGGTTTTAGGCCAGCAATGGAAAGAGCTGACTAATGCACAAGAGAAGAGAAAGAACTTAAAGGAATAAGCACACACTTACAGAAATATGATCTAAACTCATATCCCAATTGGACACTTACAGCTCCTGGGTCTGGAAGCTCTTTCTGCCATTTTATTACGACTGATGGTGGGAAAGCCCACCCGTGTTAGTCTTAATCTAGAAATTTAAATTAATTAATTTAAATCTACCTTTAAATTAATTATAGTCTTAGATAGAATATATAATTTCATTTAGTTGAAATACAAATTTTAAAAAGTACAAAAGCAAGGGAAACAACCTACATGTCTAACACTAAAGGAGTAGTTTAGTAAATATGATCCAGTAATATAATAGAATATCATGCAGTCATGAAAATATTTATGAAGGATATGTATATTTATGATATAATATTCAATAAAATGCAACAAAGTTAGGTGTATACTATGATTGAAACTATTTTTTAAATTCACCCATGAGGATTCACGCAGAAAATGCAAAAGAAAATTATTCTGTTAGTCAGTAGGATATTGGGAATTTCTTCCTCAATATTCTCGGATATAGACATTCTCCAAATACCTTTACATTAACTTTATTTTTTTCAAGCAATATTTTGGTCAAAATCTAAAATCAGGCTTAAAGTAGTTGTGCAGAATCACAGAATTTTAAACTTGAGAGAAACCTTAGTGATCGATGCCCTTCATATCTTTAGTTGAGACCTAATGAGGGTTCCTGGAGCTAGGGCCCAGGCACAGCTAACTTATGCTGCTTCCTTCTTCATTTAGCTGCAAGGCCAAGAAGTGTGAAAGGCCAAAAGCTGCTGAGAAGCCACTCTGGATTTGGAAGCTTTATGCTCTAAATGGTCTGGCTTCTGGAATGTTTTACAAGTATGCACTGTAGACTGAACAGGCCTCTCAGTTGATATGGTTTTATGTTATTATACTTCAACAATAGGTTTCTGAAATTCTCACAGCTAATTGAAGTGAAATGTTTCACATGGCAAATGCCACAGACAATTAGTACCAACCACTGAAGGACAGGTTAGTGCCTCATGGAATCCTAAAAAAGTATTCTTCCTGCACCTCTCGGCTCCCCAGATGGTGCAATCCTCTTCCAGCCTCTCCTTCTATACAAGCCCTGGACATAAGGTGACCTGCAGAGTTGGCATTTCTAAACATATGGGCTGGAAGTAAATACTGAAGTCATAGCAAAATGAGCACCATTCCCTGGCATGGATATTTTCCCAGCCCCTCCTTCCCAGAAGTTTAAAACTTAACATCAAAAAGTAGACAGAGCACCCAGCAGGTGTTGCTCATTGATTCAGTGTGAACCAGGAGGTTGTGGTTTGATTCTGGTCAGGGTACATGTCCAAGTTGTGGGCTCAGTCCCAATGGGGAGTGTGCAGGAGGAAACCGATCAATGATTCTCTCACATCATTGATGTTTCTATCTCTCTCCCCCTTCATCTCTCTGAAATCAATAAAATATATATATACATATATGTATGTGTATATATATACATATATATGTGTGTATATATATATATACATATATTAAAAGTAGAGCAATCTTTGGGGGATAAAGGAGAGTGATGAGAAGTTTAATTTCAATTGGATAAAAAATATGAGGCTGGACCAAATTGCCCTGGTCCCCTTGAGGAAGAAGAGGAAAAATTGGGGGAAAGACAAGAAAACACCAAAAATAAAAATAAAAAAAGTTGCCATTAAAATGTATGGGTATAACTGAAAATAATGAGTTACATCAAAGCTCTAAAATCACATACCAATCAACGTTATGCAAAAACCTCTGAAAGTACAAAGAAACAAAAACAAAATGAACTCACATAAATACATTTAAATTGGTACTACAGTGAAAGGCCTCTCCTGAATCCCACAATTACTTCAGAGTCTCCAGGGAAGGCTAGGGAAGCCAGAGTGCTCAGAGATGAAGGGGCTTCATCCCTTAATAGGATGACAATGCAATGCTAAGTCACAAGAGATCACAGAAGGGAAAAAACAACTGAACGTGCTTAAAGATCAAAAGCAACTTGAGTCCTTTGAGCATCATGCTGTAGAAGAAAGGTGAGAACCCACAGACAGCCAGGAAAAGTGAAACAAAAACCAAAGGCATCTAAGGACAGCATGAGGTCTGTGAATCAGAGACAGGTGACTCCTGCAGGGAGCAGCAGAAAGAAATCTGGCAGGAAGCAAGACATATGCTACTGAAGGCTAAAGCCAGACTTGAGAAGGAAATGAGGCCGCGAGAGGAATCAGGACCAGCATCACTGCCCAGCTCTTCGGTTAGAGAGAGCTACTATCTATGCCAGCCGTGGGCAAACTACAGCCCACAGGCCGGATCCGGCCCGTTTGAAATGAATAAAACTAAAAAAAAAAAAAAAAAAAGACCATACCCTATTATGTAATGATGTTTACTTTGAATTTATATTAGTTCGCACAAACACTCCATCCATGCTTTTCTTCCAGCCCTCCGGTCCAGTTTAAGAACCCATTTTGGCTCTCAAGTCAAAAAGTTTGCCCACCCCTGATCTATGCAGTTACAGCACATTTCACCTAGACAGACCTAGTTTTCCTAGAGGAACCACTTTGAAACAAAGCAAATCACGTGAATTATCCCCACCCTTTCTCCCAATGCCCTTTGGATCAAAGAATTGGGGCCCTGAGAGTTGCCATTAATAAACGCCTGCATGTGGAATCAGTCTCCTCAATGCTTAAGGTTAATCCATTCACAGAAAAAAATACACATATCTGAATCAAAGCATCTGCAATTGCTGGCAGAAAATGGGTAAAGTCTAGAGTCCAAGAATCCTATCAGCACACATTAAGGCAATTTACTGCCTTAAAAAGCAAAATATATCACCTTCCCTCCTTTGCAGTAGCTCTCAGCCAGCAGTGACCTGTGGGCTGCCCTGGATTAGCTGCTGAGTGTGCTGTTTCTACTGAGCTGGACTAGAGAGACTGAAGGTCTACCAAGTAAAGGTTACAAGGAGAATTCAGATTCGTGGTTGCCATCAGCTCCATGGATCTGGAAAAATCAAGGTGTCCACTCCGCCCAGTTCCTCTCCAGCTGCACCCAGATATAAATCCTCCGGAGTGCTGCCCGAGATTAAATCAGAAAGCATAAGGAAAGGCCTTTACTTCCTTACTCCAGTGAGTTCTTTCCACACAGATATCCAGAATGATAAGCTTCTACCCACTATCCTTGAAGAACATAAAGAACTGCAGGTGGCTTGAGGAGGTCCATCCTGCAATATCACTAGGCTATTCTCTTGAAGAGGTCTATCCTCAGGTAGGCACTAGTCCAGTGATGGCGAACCTTTTGAGCTCGGCGTGTCAGCATTTTGAAACACCCTAACTTAACTCTGGTGCCGTGTCACATATAGAAATTTTTTGATATTTGCAACCATAGTAAAACAAAGACTTATATTTTTGATATTTATTTTATATATTTAAGTGCCATCTAACAAAGAAAAATCAACCAAAAAAATGAGTTCGTGTGTCACCTCTGACACACGTGTCATAGGTTCGCCATCACTGCATTAGTCTGTTCCCTATCCTGTGAAAGGCATTTATTTGTTCCCTAATATGTTCCCCTGACAAGGTCCATTCTGTGATAGGCACTTGTCTATTCCCTTGATGAGGTCTATTCTTGGAGAGGTGACTAGGCTATCCCTCTGAGGAGTCCATTCTGAGATAGGCACTAGGCTGTCCACAATATTTTGCTTGGGTGGTTGAAGAGGGTGGATAATCTCCTGCCTGCCCTTCTCTTGCTAACAGGCAACCAATAAAATAATTTCTGATTTTCCATACTATGAATGAAAGCCAGACAACATCCACATAGTTCATCCCTAAACATTCAATTCTGGTTCAATTAAAAAATATAGAAACCTATATTTATTCCAAAGACAAAATGAATAATAATAAAATTTCTGGGGAAGGCTCAATGTATTATGAAAAACATCTTGTTCCAAAAGAATAAAAATTTTTTAAAGTAAAATAAAAAGCCAAGATAGCCTAACGAGAAATATATGATTTAAGAATTTCAATTTGAAAAGCAATTGCAAATCTCCTAGTAATTGAAGTTAAATGGCACAAATCAATTCATTTGGGGTTCTCTATTGTATCAACTCACATAATCTGAAAAAAAAAATAGAAATAACTTTTGTTTTAAATTTATATCAGTTTCAACCAACAGCAAAAAGGATGAAATTTTATCTCTTAATTCACACCCCTGGATGTGTGGTCCAGAGAAGAGGAATAAAACACAAAGTGATCAAACACCTGGTTAAACGACAGAAAAATTTCTAAGAAACATTTATGTACACCAACATCCAAAAATGTCTGGAGTATCATTCAGCTGAAAGGAAATCTAAGGACAGACTGTCACACTGCAAAAGTGATCATTTAAAAAAACAAGTAAACATGTACCGACTATCAAAGTAACCTGTACTCACTCATTATGAATATGGTGAAATGGCTCTCTTTTAGGCTTTTACTGTACTTTATATGGAATAGTAATTATACATCTTTACTATGACTTTCGACCACCTCTGTAGCATTTCACACCATATTGATAAATGTCAGCCCCCATTCCCATGTTCTGTATAATACATATGTCATTAATTCACCTAACATCTGGACACACCTCAACTCTGAAACAGGAGCGTGCCCAGCCTCCCGTTCACCCACACTGGCAATTTCACTACAACGTAAACTCTCCCTCATGAAAGCTCTGGAGGCTGGGTGCCCTTGGGAAAAAACAAACAAGGCAATTCTCCCATGTCCCACTCACATGTCAGGCAAACCAGCATGGTGCGCACCAACAGGTCCACCGCCAGCTCCCAATGCTCAGGCACGCGGGACACGAAGAAGGGGATGATGATCTCGGCTGGGACGAAGAACTGGATGGCATAGGTGAAGAAGATGCCAATGGAGTAGAGCAGCTTCACCGACTGGTACAGCCTGCAGAGAGAGCCCAGATACATTCAAAAGCCGTTCCGCACACTCATGCTAGTAGGAATAGTGCAAAATGGTCCGGTCCCATTGTGATTTGACCGTATCTATCCAAGCTACAAATGTGTTTTTTTGGACCCAGCAATTTCATATCTAGCAATTTATCTGGCAGATATATTTGCACATATACACAAAAACCTATATTCAAAATATATCATTGCAGCATTATTTAAGTACAAAAGATTGAAAACGGTTTAAATGTTAATCAGTGGAGAACTGGTTAAATACATCATGGTGTCCCCATATAGCAGTTAAAAAGTGTGAGGCAGAACTCACATGGGATTAGCTTTATGATATACTATTAAGAGAAAAAATCATGAAGCAGTACAGTGTCTACAGTGTGCTACAATTCGTTTTAAAAAGAGAAAAACCATTCCCCCTCACATACACACATATGTGATACTCTTACATACATGAAACACCTCTAGAAGGAAAGACAAGAAACTGGCTGATACGGTTGCCTCTGAAATGGAAAGTTGTAGAACTGGGGACTAAGGAGGTGAGTGGAAACTTAACCTTTTCTGTATACCTTTGAACATTTGGAATCTTTACCAGGGCAGATATCCTTTCAAACATAAAAACAATTAAAAATACAAATAAATGTAACAAGCCTGTTTATTATATCCTCCCCATACAATACAGAATTCCCTAGAAACAGATGGTGACCAGCAGGATCAAGAGGCAGGAGCAGAATCCATCTTTCCACCCCACTGCAGCCATCTTCCTACCTCTGCTTCATGTGCAGCTTCTCAAGAAGACCATTAACTCGTCGGGAGATACCTCTGTCTACCCCATGCCTATGCAGAGTAGAATAAAAGCCTTACAAGCACTTATAGATCTCACATGACCATTAAATGGAAGACCACTCTGTCCCTAAGCAAAACTCCATGTCAAACAAGACCCTCATGGGTTGAGCAGCGAGAAATACTGGTATCCCTCCCTTTTTGGAAATCTATTTATAAATGATGATTATATTGTATATAACATGTACTAAATTTCTCTGTGGTTGAACTTAATACCTGGAACATGTTCTATGCTAGAAGCAGAATACCCCAGGAGAGACTGAGTTTGACAAAAGGTCTTACTTGCTCTAAGAATATATGATAGCCAAAACCAGTTTGGCTCGGTGGATAGAGCGTCAGCCTGCGGACTGAAGCGTCCCAGGTTCGATTCCGGTCAGGGGCATGTACCTGGGTTGCGGGCACATCCCCGGTGGGGGATGTGCAGGAGGCAGCTGATCGATGTTTCTCTCTCTTCAATGTTTCTGACTATCTCTCTCCCTTCCTCTCTGTAAAAAAATCAATAAAATATATTTTTTTAAAAAAAGAAGAGATGATAAAAATTCTTTGGAAAAATCAGCTGGTGGCTCTATAATTAAACTCGGGCAGCACCAAAGCTTGCTGGAGTTTAGGGAAGTCTGGAATAAGGATACCCACCTGCAGACCAAATAAACTGCAGGCCAAATAATTGAGGCAGAAAGATTAGAATAGCTGGGTTTAAGATCTGAGGAAAGAAGACAGATGCTCATCTATGGCTTTAGATTACACACATGTATAATGTGGGCTGCTTCTGCTGCTCCTGATCCACTTATCTTGTTATGCCGAGCTACCACCTGATTCTTGATCGGGCAAGGACATTTGGAAATGTAAAAGCAGGCATCAGAGGGAAAGATAGAGTTTCTAAAAACAGTGACCCATTTCAGGTCTACCAGTTGGCTGGCCACATAACAAACTTATCCCCCAGACCCCTACTGACTAGGGTATCCTTTGCTAAACACAGACAACACTATTGAATAAACATTTTTATCAATTTTCTCAAGCTGCCCTTGCACAATGCCTCACCAATCAGAGCTCTAAAAAACACACAGGCAGATCAGTGGGCCAGCTCGAAAGGTTATTCTGATCCCCAGGGCACTCAGCAAGCGTCTGTGTTTGCTTGCAGCTGCTCTCCATAATGAAATTTTAATCTTCAAAAACAGAACTGTTGTTTAGGATACACCCTGTGACATCTACCTTTTTAGGAAGCATTCCAGTATGTCTGTTTCCCTATAATACAGCAACCAAGAGTTAAGGAAAGTGAAATATAGAAGGGCCCCAACAAGCCTTGGTCCAAGGTTAGTGGCCTCCATGTGCATATCAAGTCAGTGACTGCACGGGAGAGGCGCAGCGGAGGCTGGGGACTAAGCAGAATGTGCCCTCTCCCCCCTCTACTTGGACTGCTTTAAGGGGAATGGACTAGATACTTGACCCTTCTAGGCTCATATTTCCAAGGGAGAAATATATCAATCAGCTGATCAACCAATCCATTCAGGATATGTCTCCATAGGAATTACTCATTCAAACAAAGAATAAAGCTAGGGCAACATCCTACTTGTCCATGACACCAGCATGCTATTACAAAGCTCTTTCTCACGCATATAATTTGAAATCCTTGCAGGAAGAAATGACTATTCCTCATTCCCAAAAGAGGGAAGTGAGGCAGCGAGAAGCTGTGATTTGTCCAAGGCCACAGAGCTAGGACATGGCAGATCACCTCTGTCCTCTATGCCCCAGCTGCTTCATGATAACATCTCCTCATGTAGAAAATGCTTCAGTCGCAGCATTTATTCCTCCTTTTTGTTCAATATCATTCCCTGGGTGATGATCATACCAAGTGCTGGGATAAAATGGAGAAATAGACGGTTGCTGCCCTCATACAGTTTAGAGTGCAAGGAGATCACAGTACAGGTAAACGAACCATTACAACGCAAAAGATAAAAAGCCTAATGGGAACTTATGGGAGCAGAGAGAAGGGGCATCTCACTGAGATTTGAAGTTGTGGTCAGTGAGACATCAGAGAGTTTCTCAAAAAGAGCAACTCCTAGACCAAGTCCTCCTGACTGAATGGGAATTGGCCAGGGGTGGGCCCAGAGCCTGAAGGGCCCTGAGGCACATTAAGGAAGGCAAGGGGAAGCCTTTGAGGAGTTCTCCACAAGATATGATTGGACTGAGTGTTCTCTCCAATGCATGATTGCACTGAATGTTAGGCAGCTCACACAGGTGGCAAGGAGGAGCCCTGATGTGGAGAAAGATTAAGACACAGGCAGTGCGCGATGGGTCTCCTCCTCCACTCTAGCTAAAAGCAATGGAAAAATATCTCGTGAGGATTCACACACACACACACACCAAAAAAAAATTAAAGTGAAGCAGGCTGACTTAAGAAATAAGCAGGAGAAAGAATCTACATTCTGACCTATTACAGTGATTTAAAAAAATACTAGTGTTCCCAGGCTTCCATCCTCACCCACTTACCAGCAGTTAGGCAGGTTGAGAGTTATGCTGCCTTGGATATCAGCTCCAAATTGCAGGTACCCCAGACATCCCAGGCTGATGTAGAGGGTAGTGACAATGCCCATTCCCACATACAGGATGACTGGAAATTTCCGGGGATCCTTCATTTTGTTTTCAAGAGGCAGAACCTATGAGAGTAGTGAGAGAGAAGAGAAAACACAGCAAAGAGCAATATTAATAGCCAAGAAGAAAATGTAATATTTTCAGAAAAAAGTAATTTCTTTATCTTTAGAATTCCCCAAAAGCAAATCCATCCTTTATTAGACAAACAAATAAATGCAAGTTGTTTCCTCAGAAGCTCTCCTCTCAGAGCTTGAGACATAGAGCCCATAATCTCAACAGAGAACTCCTGAGAGGTTAGGGTGGCAAGACTGGAACCCAGGACTCCTGGTCCAGGCTAACACTCTGCCTCCTGCTCTGAGATCACTGTAGGCCGGGAGTTCTCTTTGTCCCTTGAATGCAGCCACCTGGCAACTAACAGACCCTTATGTATCATGCCCACCTGGAACAGATGCTGGTGGTGGCACAGGTCAGCTGTAGTTCACCTGAGATCATAGCTTTTCTAATCTGTCTAAAGAATACAACACACAGGTCAGGGAAAATGGCCATTCTACTTCACAGAAATGATTTCCTTACCTCAAAGGGGGTAGACACCAGCAGTGACAAGTTAAACCTCCAAGTTAGAGGAAACTGCAGTGCTGGGGGTAGCATGACTTAATAGATCTTGGATATTAAGGATCTTGAAGATATATAACAAAACCCAGTTTCTAGACTCCTATTTCAAACCATTGACCCTTGCCGTCACCTCCCTCACGGCACAGAACATTTTTTAACCTTCGCTAAAGCAAAGGAAAGGTGAGGTAGACTGGTTCACTTAGGAACAGGGAAGACAGCAGGTATGACTGTGACAATCTTCACAATCTGCCATCAACTGCTTCTGGCATGACTGACAAGGAAAAGCAACACAATGCAATGAATACAAACTATCTTTGACCTTGTCATTACACTGATTTGCCTCCAGTGCCTGTGGCCATGAGGCAGAGCAGGTCTGTGCCAGACACACCCCAGCAGACACCACAAGCCAAAGCCTGGTGTTCTGAGGGGAGCAACAGCTCTGCATTTCCAACTGGCTTTCAGCAACCCCATCCTACCAGCTCAAGGGTCTCAAGCTACAATTGATCCATACACAGTAAGAGTCAGTTTCTAAGCTTTCCTTCAGCTTCCTCTTATGGAGAGTCTAAAGAGACAGAGGGCAGGAAACCCTCTCCTCCATGTCTGCCAGGCCTGGGCCTACGGTGCAGAGAGAGCGCACAGTGAGCAGTGGCACTTTACCCAGATATGCTCAACAGTCCTCAAATCCAAACTAACAGTCAAAATAGCAGTGTTCTCTCTATTGTAAAAAACAGAAACATCTTGAAGTAACAGATGATCATGATTAAAGAATGACTCCATATTCAAGTCTTGGCTAATGAAATGATGCAAAGAATAACTTTTGCGCTGTACTGTTAAGGAAAACTGATAAACTCAGTACAATGCTCCTTGAGAACCCAGGATCTCCATGCATCCTTCCACATTAACTCAACCTCTTCTTCCCCGTCCTGAGTACTTGGGGCCACTTTCTCACTGCTGCAATACAGGGCCCTTCAGGCCTCTGCCCCAGCAGCAGGAGAACCACTGGTGTTTGTGAATCGAGGTGAGACACAATCTGAGTACGGAGAAGGAACACAGGAGAAGTTTAAAACCTCAGGAAAACCTCTCCACAATCACTCAGAAAGCCTCCCCCCATAATGTTAGAGCCTTCACCCAGTCCATCAACACTACAGGGACAATTCCTCTCTATTTTGACAAAAATTTGCATTGCTCCTAGGTTTTCCCAGAAGCATACAGAACATAATTGGGAAATCAAATGGGGACAAAAATAAATTCTATGAAAGGACAAGTGCCTTCTCATTTCCTAAGCCCTTGGCCAGGGAAGCTAATAATTTTTTTCGGAGAATTCTGTACCTTTATTATGAAAAATCAAAATCAAATTAGGTACAACTGACTGGCAGACTTCTCTCTTTAGGAGAAGAATTTGGTGCAATCACAGCAATAATGAGAGGAAGCTAAGCTAGGAGTGAAGGCTACTCATTCATACGAAGAAAATATGGCACACCCATGATCCAGGGCAGAGAAAGTATTCACATGTTTATTGATTTAATAATAAAATCAATATAATTAATAAAAAAAATTATTCAATGCTCATCATATGTCAGGGACTGTGTGAAGCACTTTACATATATATCTCACTTAATCCTAATAATTACTAATCATTAAAATGACTTTTCAGAGGCAGAGAGTGAAGGTCAGATAGATGAAGTCCTTGCACCAGGTCATGCAGCTACTCTCTGGCAGGAAGACTCTACATTCCAGACCCTACATTCCTAATTGCCATGTACTGTTGCTTTGTGCACATACAGAAGATGAGTGTGCAAAAGAGCTGGTTTGAATATAAACATTCTCAAATTACATACAATTTATTTTCAAAAGTTGGAGCTGAGGAACTTCAGTGGAATCCCTGAAATGCTGTTCACTAACTGGCCATTAAGTCTCAGAAGATTATTTCCAATAGCATTTCCTCAGCATTCCTTACAGCAGACCTCAAGGACACCAAGGACACCAGAGTATCACAGTGCAGCTCTTACCATCCCAATGCCTTCAAATGCAAAAATGGCTGTGCCAAAGAACAGAGGATAGGTCTTCCAGGGTGCCACCAAGGGGAGGCGGCTGGGGTCTGGGATACCCTGAAAGAGAGAAAATAAAACAAAGCAAAAGCTATATAAACAGAGCTTTGAGATTTGAATCACAACATTAGACAGGTCACACCTTTCCTAAATCCTAGATTCTCTGAAGGTAGAAAGTCTGACACCTGACAGATGATTGGGGAACATTTAGTCTGTGTATATTTTTCCCTTCAGGCTGAGAAAACCCACTTTGTTAGGGGGAGGACTAGCCCAATGTACCCTACAAAACTCAAATGTTAAAAAAAAACACTCAAATGTTGAAGCCTACATAAAAAATCACATTCTTTTCATAGGTATTCCCATCCCTAGAAATTTAATCTGAGTAGGAAGAAAAAAGCAAAGGATAGAAAAGTTGAACTAAAAACAACCTAAATGTTCCCAAACAAGTGAACATTTAGTTTACTCAGATCAACTATGCCATAAATATCACACTATTTAAAAAGTAAAATCTAAGATAACTAAGTAGCACATGAAAAACTGTTCATGAAATAATAGTAATTTTTTAAAAGTTTCTATATTCGCTATGATACAACTACATAAATACTTCACACAGATAAAGCTGGAGGGAAGATGGTAAATTTTTAGATGTGTTCTTTTTCCTTTTTTTCTACATTTCTTTCTTTTTTAAAAAAATTCTTGTGAATAAGTTTGAGTACTTGGAAAATACTAACAGGCACATGACAAGAGTATTGAAACATTTGCAGGAAAAGAGCAAAAATAGCATTTAAAAAACAGGCAAATAAAAACCAAGGCAACTGGCAACTGCAGGTGTAATGTAAGGATGTATAAGCAAGGAGGTGCAGACACAGAAACCTACCAGTTCACCACTGGACAGCAGTGCTCAATAATAGCATCGAAGGAGCAGGATGCAGTGGGGTAGAAGCTGCCGTCCTTTTAAAATTCGGCTTTTTAAACCGTGCGTGTACATTGCTTAGATTAAAATAAAAACTGACTTTATGACTGCCTTTTACAATGTTTTAAAAATGATTTAACTATAGAGATATTTAGATAAATCTGGGGCATGTTCTAACAGTGTGACAGAATAATATCAGTGAACAAACAAAGATCTAGTATTAACCTATGTAATAGGCTTCTCTTTAAAAGGTTTCAAAGTGATTAATTATACTATGGTCTCCCTAAAACAAAGAATTTTAAAAATACTTTTTTTCTCAGGTGCTGCTAAGAAATCAGTTAGATCTCTTCACAAGAAGCATTTCAGTAACTGGAATGATGACAGACAATAAATATTTTTGCTCTACAATGAGACAAGAGAGTGAGAGTGTCCTGTAATTATTCCTGAGTCACAGTGCAGCTTAAGTTCCTAGAAACAGGAGCAATCTGTTGGTTAGGGGATGACTACTGCCCAAGTTCATACATCAGATCAAGTTGGCGTATCAGAGAGGGAATTTCAGAATGTATGTCTGGGGATACTGTGTGAATGAGACCAGCCAACAGGAATTTAAAATTCTACATAGTTAATTGCTATTGACTTATAACACAACCAACTAAATGAAAAAAGCTTATGCAAAGAAATGTACAAATTAAAATCAGTTCACTATCAACATATCTCCATAATTCTACAGTACTATCAATGATAATAATAACAGTTTTTTGAGAAAGTGCTGTTAAATGTATGTAAGGATTGCAAGATGTGCTCCAAGTTTGGGAACAGTATAAGTGTGGAAAAAATGCATCTCAGAATTAAGGATATGCAGTGATAAAATATTTATTGGGCGTCTCTTCTCAGCAAGGCATTCTGCTCAGAACTGTGCTGCCACCGTTCGTTCCAGGAAAACGTGCTCAGGAAGAAGACCTTGGTCAGCTTCCTAAGATGGCATGTGCATGAGGAGCAGGAGCACCAGTCACAACACATGCTAAATGCTAAGGATTATGTAAAAATTCAGGAATATCAAACAGCAGTGGAATCCTCATGGTAAACAAAGCAAAATGCCAGGACAGGACAAAATTAGCAGCAGCAACAACAACAAAAAAACCCCAAAGGGAACATCTTTAGCTATGTGCCACGTCAAAATGAAGCCGCTCAACACAGCACTCTCCCATGCTGCACCCAGGGCAGATAACACTATGTCATCACAACACACCGCCTGGCTGAGCCAAAAGGCAGGCGCAGAATTGCTCTCAAACAATCAGCAGGACTGCCTCACCAAAGTGCAGGTTGCACTATGCACAATGCTCCAGACAGACACTTACTGTAGTTGGGACTGAGATGCTATCACAACTCAGATTCCCATCCCAGCCCTCTGATCGTGGCATTGACCACAGTCCAACTACCTATGCGGGTTTATAATTAAATGTGGTATGTGTGTCACTCACCTCATCTTTAATGTCCACTGCAGTGTTTCCTAGGCAGTGACTGAGATCTCTAATCACAAAGTTAAATCAAGAATTTATCTACCCTTTTCTGCTTTAACTTAATTTGCCAGAGGTGGGGTGGGGGAACGCTCTGGAAACAATCCATCATGCATTCACAGGCCCTTCTTCCAGTCTCATAATAAAATAGGACATGGAGAGATGTTTATGCTTTAAATAGTAATTCTGCAAAAGAGTTAGCATCTGCCATTCTTCTGACTTACTAGGACAAGGAAAAAACAGTCAATACTCATTAAGTCCAATCTAAATTCACTGTCATTTCTTCAGTACCGGAAGTCCCTCCTTTTTATGGCCCACTGTTTTCCTAGAAACCACATCAGTAGGTAACTGTTTGAAAATGAGGCGAAGTTCACCTGTCAAACTGTCCAAATTAAAACAATTGATATATCCAGTGTTGGCCAGAATAGGAAACTTAAATACCATGGAAGGGAGTCAATATGAAATCAGTAAATAGTGCTTAGAAAAAGCAACTTGGCAATATAAAAACTTCAAAAGTGCAAACTCTTCAGCAATTGCCCTTCTGGATAAATATCTTGGAGATGTACTTATACATGCCCACAAAAAGGAAGGCGTAATAAAATGCACTGTCATAATACTGAAAAAATACTAAAAACTATAAATGACCGGACAGCCCGCTGACTGAGGACTGGTCAAATAAACTAAGGCAACATCTAGTTTCTGAGATACTATGTAGAATTTTAAAAAATGAGGTAAAATCAGGGTGATATGGAAAGCTCCCTGTGGCACTATTGAGGGAAACATACCAAAGTAGAAGAAAACCACATATAATAATCTTTGTAAATATGTTTAAAAAATAACAAAGGTATATTTTTGTTTTATATATTTCTGTACATACTTACATAGTGTGCAATGCGCTCTTAGGACCTAGAAGGAGACAGACAATAACACCAAGGGTGCCTAAGTGGAGGAGACTCAGGGTAAGCATGTGGTGTTCAACAAGCACTTGTGTTGTCTGCACTTTAGTGAGTATTGATGAGTTATTGGGGGAATTAAAATTTTTTTGAAGAACAGTTTATTGATTTTTTTAGAGAGAGGAAAAAAGAAGAGAGAAACATCAATGTTAGAGCAAAACATCGATTAACTGCCTCCTGCATGCCCCCTACTGGGGATCAAGCCCACAACCCGAGCATGTGCCCTGACCAGGAATGGAACCAACAACCTCTCGGTGAAGGGGACGATGCCCAACCAACTGAGCCACACCAGCCAGGGAAGGGGAATTAAATTTAAATACTTTTGAAAAAGTTATGCTTTTATTCCCCTGCTGTCACTCTTTTCCTTTTCTCAAGTTTTGGCAAAATGCAATGTATTGCCCACAAACAGCCACAGTGTTTAAGGGCACATTTTTCTCAGCATGATCTGCTACCCATCTATATACAAGTGTCCTCTTGTGTATTACCCTGCCCACAAGGGCTGTGCGAGGAGGAACAATTACTGGATTTATAATTTTGACAAATAAATATAAAACTGGAGTGGTAAGGAATTATGTTATTTAAATATAGGTTAGATAATTTGGTTTTTATTTTTCTCTTAATATTTTTCTCTATTTTCCAATCTTACAAAATGATCCATGTAGTAACTATCTAATTAGGGAAAAGTTTAAATCAGAGACATCAAGGGGAGTGACTTTACTCCTCCCCTCCCTGATGTTTGGCAATATCTGGAGACATTTTTGTTGTCACAGCTGGGGAGGTGGGGTTGCTAGTAGCACCTAGCAGGTAGAGACGAGGGAGGCTGCTAAATGTCCCATAAGACACAGGACAGCCCCCCATGACAAAGAGTTATCTGGCCCAAAATGACAATAGTGCTGCAGTTGAGAACCCCTAATGTAAACATATCACACATAAGTAACATATCCCTACTGATGCTCCACTTACTTTTTTTTGTTTGTTTGTTTCTTTGATTAGTTAATAGGTAGAAGGAGAGAGCCTGAGCTCATACCTGAACAATGAACTGGTAGATCATGAACAGGCTGACCAGCATGGTGATGTTGGCCAATAGGGAGAAGATGGACAGGACTCGAAGGTTCCTAACGAAAACCAGCAGCACCAGGAATGGCAGGAAGGTGAGCATGTAGAGTCTCGAGTCCATGGTGGGCATCAGAATCACCGTCTCATTGTTGTGGCAGTTGTTGGTGGTTCCATTGGCTGCTTCTATCACCTAGGATGAGGGGAAGACAAGAAACAGAAAAAGCCTTTCAAGTGACAAAAGCCTGACTAACGGTTCAGTGTGTGAAAAAGGCCCTACAGAAGTCTGTGGTTGGCGAACTATCTTTGGAAATCTTCATAATTATCATAACTGGGTTTGATCATATCTTACCAAAAGATAGGAAGACGCACAAGGCATTTTGAGTTTCTTGATACCCTAGGTCGTTATATGAAATAAAACAAAAGACGCTGTTCTATGTAAAGAATCTTAATTCTTTTGTTGATCAAAACTGGTTTTAATAAAAAGAAATGGTTTTTAAAAAATCCTGAACAGAAAGTCCACTTATCTCTTGCCATTCTCTCCCCCCACCCCCTCTCTATCCGTCTTCCTCTCCCAGCCCTACCTGTTTAAAGTTGTCAGCCAGAAAAACAAAATAGACACAGCAGAACCCCAGCTGCGTGACAATCAGGAAGAAGTCCACAGTGTGCCTGAAGGTGGAGAAGGAAGAAATACGAAGATCATTATAAAAAGCAAGACTCCCTGAGAGACGTTTGAACACACTTTTGCCCCAGTCATCACAGACCCTTCCGATCAGGTGACCAGGATAAGTGAGCCCTGGTGAAAAGAGACACTATGCTAAATGCCGCCAGGCTAGAGCTTTGGAGGAAGGTGAAGCAGGCACTGCCTGTGTGGTTTCCAAGGTCCCCTTCCTGGCTTCTTGTTGGGATTGCTGCACGAGGCCAGGCGAGCCTGAGACTGGAGTGGCCTAGCAGAACACATCAGGACCACTGCCCAGCCCTTGGCCTCCCCTCCCATTGGCCTGCCTGTCCCCTCTCATACACCATTTGTTCTACAGCGACAGGGAACCCTCAACGTAACAGCCAGGAAGTGTGGGCCCCTTCACTCTCTGTGTATAACTTGAATCCAAGAACCAGTCTACTCTCACATAAGTACACAGAAATAGATGTAACCAACAGACTGCTGGTTGAATCACTGTTACAACAACAACAGCTGGTAACAACTCAAAGGGTCGTCAAAAGAAAAAGGGTTAAATTATAGACCATTCTTAAATGGAACAGTATACAGCAGGTAAAAAGCATATGTTAAATCTATATGGGCTGACAGAGAAATGACTAACACCCTTTAAGGGAAAAAATAAGTTTCCAAAGATGTTTGAGAACATGTACATGTTTTGGAATCAAAAGATACCCATGCAACTGTGACCAGTATATATACCTTCACTTTACACTTTATGTCCTTTTATCTTGTTCAAAAGTATTTTTTTTAATTTTATTAAAGCAAGGAAGGAAGGGGAGTAAGAGGGTGAGTAAGGAAGGGGGCAGGATGAGCCATGGGAAGAGAGGGGAAGAGGGCAATAAACAGAGAAGAAAGAAAAGAAGGGAAAG